CTTCTGGAAGGTGGTAAATGTTGCTACTGGTAGGGGTATACCTAAAGAAACACACATTAAAATGATTAAAGAAAATACTGGAAGTTAAATAACTGATGACGTAGAAAGAACAAATTTCATAAATGGTTTTTTTTCTTCTATTTGCAAAGATAGCTATTAATCAACCTCTGGTTGAAAACTATGATGATCTGCACCACATCTATAGTGTAACACCTTCTATAGAAGATATGGTTATTGACTTTGATATGGTTGAAAGGGATCTTAGGAATGTATAAGCAAAGAAATTTCATGGCCCAGATGGTGTTACTGCTCGCAGTCTATCTGTTGTTTCAACCTCTCCTGCTTCTGGTCTCAATGTTCCTTTCAATTTGTGTTGTCAACAAAATCAGTACCCTGACTCATGGAAGATTGCTAGAGTTAAGCCACTTTTTAAGAAAGGATCCCAATCTGAGGTATAAAATTACAGACCGGTTTCTCTCTACTCAGTTTACCAAGCAAGCTGCTTGAGAGACAGTTGTGTTTCAATATTGATAATCACATTCATGTAAATAAATTGCTATCAGAATGTCAGTGGGGATTTACACAAGGTCGCTCGACGGAAGGTATGTTACTTGCTATGATTGAACAATGGAAAGCAGCTGTTGATAGTGGTTCGACTGTGGGAGCTATATTTATAGACTTTAAGAAAGCATTTGACACTGTGTCACACAATGTTTTATCTAGTAAACTCTAGGCTGTTGGTATATGTTGTCACCATCATGGGTGGATTATGCATTATCTTACAAATAGAAAACAGTATACTGAACTCAACGGAACCAGATCCTCTACTCTAAATGTGGACTACGCTGTACCACAAGGGTCCCTGGCTGGTCCAAGGCTGTTTACTATATATGTAAATGACCTTCCAGAATCAATAAATGCAAGTAAAGTGTTCATGTATGCTGACGATACCACTATATATTGCACTGGGACAAACGTTGAGGATGTTGTCTCAAAGCTGAACTCTATTATGGATCAGACATCTTTATGGAGTGTCAAGACATCTCTATGGAGTGTAAATCAGACATCTCTATGGAGTGTAAATCAGAAGCTATGATTATAAGGAAATGTCGTTTTATTGGTCCACTTTGTCCTGTACGTTATGGCTCTGGCTTTGTGAACTTTGTTACTTTCACTACTTGCCTTGGCGTCACCATTGATAACAACTGTCATGGTCTGCTCATATTGAGAAAGTTAACAAGAACTTTTCCAATGAAGTATGTGCATAGAGAAGAATGTGTTATCTTCCCCAACATGTATTACAAGATATCTATTTCAAAACAATTATCCCTTGTGTAACCTATGCAATAGCAGTATGGGGTAATTGTTCAACATCTCAATTAGTATCTTTAAATTCTTCTCATGAAAGACCTTGTCGGCTGATGAATAATAACAATACATCCTCGAAAGACTCCAAATGGTTACCAATAGACTACTTTTACCGAAGAGCCGCTTACTTATGTTGATGTTTAAAGTATTTTATGGCCTTGAACCTAAACCTATATTAGATCTTTTTACAAAGAAAGTCTGCACTCGAGCATCTAAAATACTCAATCAAATGACTATTAAGAGGATTAAAACTGATTTTGGCAGAGAATCAGCTCAATATAGAGGCCCTCATATTTGGAATTATTTGAATAGCAAAGTTAAAATTTCCGAAGTAACCACAGATGCCTTCAAAAACATTCTAAGAAAGTCTCTTGTGGATATTAATAACTTTACTTTTGACAAGGAAGCTATTTTAAATAAGAATAAAGACAATGACTTTATTATTATGACTATCATTATGAAAGAACTTCATAAGTGAATATTTAATTTACTTAATTTATATATTTTACTTTTATATATTTTATATTGTATTATTAAAATATTTTCATCAATGTAATATTGTAATAATCTTTGTAATATTTTATAACAGGAATTGCATCATATTGTAGGTCCACATCAGCCCTATGGACTTCCCTAATTAAACCTACATTAATAAATAAAATGATGATGATGAAAGGTGACTCGAAACGTCATCTTTGAAACTCTTTACAGCGGCCAATTTACATTAACAACTCAGTTGATAAAACCCAATTTCCTTGTTTCCCCCCCCCCCCCCCCCGAGCAGCACCACAGTTTCTGTAGAATCTTACCCCCTTTATTCACATGTGAATTTTCTCGGCTGTACCAGCAATTTTCGGTATGACTTGGAGAGAATGGGAACTTATCGACGACCCCCGTTATTAATCAATGGCGATTATATACACATCCCTCAGAAATACCACCTGCCAAGCTAAAAAAACGTTGGAGCTACGATGAATGCCCGGGAATAAAGTGCCAGGAATTATCTATCGTCGAGGGGGTGGGTGTTGAAGGATTTTTGGGGAACGGATGGAGAAAATAATCAGGTAGTCATCGGTGAACTCAGGGTGACCACAACCTCTTTTTGTTGTTGCGAACCCAAGGCATAGATATCACACATTTGTACCAAGGTGTATCATGTTTTGGTGATCAGTAACTTTTGATCTTAATACACACCTGAGTGAAGTATTCTTATTAGACTGCTATTCCGAAACCGAGTTTAACTTTAGACATGACAGCGAATATTTATCTCTTTATCAACATTTAGATCGTTTAATTTGCAAAGGCTTAATCATCGATGACCATATGTTGCGAGCTAATACCTACAAGTGAAGTATTCGCATTGGACAGCTACTTTTAACCTACTTTTAACTTTTGACATGACAGCAAATAATTATCTCTTTATCAAATTTTAGATCCTTTTATTGAAAACGTTTCATCATCGATGATCATATCTTGCGAGCTAATATAAAAGTGAAGTCTTCGCATTGGACAGCTACTTTTTGACGATAATCATATGTCAAAAGATTTTGCATATATGTAAAATGTGTTTTCCCTACATTGATATGCATATCGTCCTATAGATTTCCTATGATTGCTAACGGAGGAAATTTGTTCAACAGTCGATGACGCTTTTGGTTGGCGATCATTCCATTATTCTCAGGACCTTGATGTTTGCGCTTTTAAGACCCGTTTGCTTCAACTGCACTTCTCAAAGCACCTCCTTAACCTGTCCTTTTATTGTTATCAATAGAAATCAAGAAACGAAAAAAAAGCAACATCAACGCATTCTCATTGAAGGATTGTTAATTGCTGTTCGGCTGGTTGTCTCATTGTAAACCTATTCAGATTTGTTCGAAATGTTCAGATTTTTTTAAAACATCAGCAGAAAAGAAACAATTTTACGCGAAACGATGCACATATGTCTGATTTTAACGAGAGATATTTGTATAAACCAGATCTTTCTAGGACTGATCTTCCTAGAGATCGCGCTTCCCGCCCCCCGTTCTTACTACAGTCTACAGTCCCCTGTTCCCCCTCCCCGCTCGGAAAGGACTTTAAAGAAAAATACATTTCAATTGGCACCAAAGGGATTTTTTTAATTAGCTCGCATTTGTTGCACACAACATGAAAATCCCTTACCTAATCATAAACGGCGAACAAATTAGAACGTGTTTTTGAGATTGTAGCTCGCATTGCGTGCTTACATTTTCTCCTCAACATCCGGGACATCGGCCATGTGTCTTGACAAAAACGACCTAGTCGCCATATTCGTTATGCCACATTTTGCTAACCAAAACGTTTGAGTTATCGTCATTCTGAATTCGAAGCAGTCGCTAAGTTTTATCATATTCAGTGGGTATTGTAATTTTGCTCGCTAAAGGTGTAATTTCTGTTCGCACAAAACCTGCCTTATTGCCTGACTTGACGTTTACACAACCGGAACATTTGTCGGGAATTTTCAATGGAATACTTATAAACAAATGGTCGAGTTTTCGCTCTCGAATTATATGCTTATGTGGCTCTGCGAACTGCGTGATGGGGGTTACGACGTATGTGTATTCAAATAAGAATAACTTGCCAGCAGATTAGAACTTATTCCTTCATTAACAATGTAATGGTTTTTATACGTTGGCACATTGCACTCGGCATTATATTTAAGAAGGCTCTCTCGTACCAATTCGAACGTATTTTCTTAATAACAACGTAGTTTTTTTTTTTTAATTAAAAACAATATTAAATATTCACTTAGCATAGCATGCTGCCCCTCTAATGTTTGTATAAATGCAGCAAAATCGATCGATCGTTCACAAGCGAACTATCAATTCCTAAGAATAGAGGAAATAAGACTTAGTTCTTTTTTTGGAGGCCTTAAGGAGTTAAGATCCTGACAAAAAAAGGTCGATACAGCAATACAGCCAATCATAATTACTCATTTCAAATTGAAGACTAAGTAACAGGCTACCATTAGTAAGAATAGCAATATGCAAGGCATCGAGAATCGAAAAGATAGAGGCAGTCAAAGGTTCGATTTCCCCATATGCCCTAGCTTGGATGTGAGGGAATTGAATGAAGATAATGGAAGTAGGGAAGAAGAGGAAACACTGACAAAACCGAATACATATCAAATGACACATCAGTAAAACGCCACCCGTAAATTGATATATTTAGGAAAAAAGCGACTAATTTGACGCCAAAAGCGATTTAAGAACTATACCGACCCAAACGTAAGAATCAACATAACGTCTGTTAACGGAAGGTAAGGTGACAAACTCTATCACAGTCCGTCTTAACCTGGTTCAGAAGTAGTTCCAATGGGGAATTCAGTGCAGATTTCTGAAAAAACGGCTTGTTAGATGGTGCCATCAAGGTACGGAAGGCACTACTTACAAAATTGTGAGTCAATTGTTCCACAATCAGGGGAGGAAGCTCTTTTAGCGAGCCGCAGCTCATTTTAAATTTTAATTCGAAATACCTCCTTGAGAGTGGCTTCGTAAACGTTACGTTTCAGCTAAATGTGTTGCAGATTGCAGGTCTATGATTCCATTGCCTGGTTGGGGCTAACAAAAGCAGAGTTAGCGTGCACGCCGCTTGATTCAAACGAAAACTGGGTGACTTCTGCTCTCAAATGACTCAAATCGTTCACCTCTGGATTAAAAAGCAGAATGCATACTTTTGGCAAAAATATGCAGCAAAGGAAACCAAACGCACTCAAGAGTGTTGTAACACAATCCAAAACAGTTACATACCATCCATCAATCGAAAACTCTACTGGGTGATAACAAAGCAAAGAGAAAAAGAATATGTACATGGAAAAAGCGATTCGTTTGGCCTCGCTAAAATTTTCAGGAATTTTCCTAACCTTAAAGGCACAAAACGAAGACAGAAGCATTTGGACAAGGACATAAAGACATGTTGTCAAAAATAGAGACTTACCAACTAAGTTGGAGTAGGCCTTACACTCGTTAAAGGTGTAACGTTTCGGATGGATATGTTTCTCGTTGTAGGGTGGGTCCAGAAGCAACCATGGTAGCAACAAAGACAATAGTGGGAATAGGAAAGCTATAATAATCGCAACTTGTGCTCTTTTGGGAAGAGAACTGATTACCAAACCGGCTACAATTGGAGCCTGGAAAGCACTGGAAATAAGCAACACCTTAACCAATACCACGGAGAGACAGAGGCTATAGGTCAGATAACGTAGGGGGTAAATGACTTTACAAATTGCATCAGTGGTTTTAAAGACATTAGAGACTGCCAGAGATAACAAAGACAGAATTGTGAGTAGAAGAACAAGGCTTAAATTTCGATTGGAAGCCTTGACGATGGGACTATTCCAGAATTTCCCAAGGGCAACCAGACAAAGCATTGTAACGACTACACCGAGCGCGGCAAACGTAAGAATTAAAACTCCACTTGCACTATCATAACTTATTTCGGCGGAGGGTAAGGCGACGCATTCCGTTTTAGCCTGGTTCGACATTGTTCCGTTGGGGCATTCTGTGCAGATTTTAGAACCAACGGATGGACTGATGGTTCCACCAAGACACGGGAGGCACTGCCAACAGCAAGGTGACGTGGCAGATTGCCTTGTTCCAGGAGGACACTCTTCCGAACATTCAGATATTGGAGGGCCACCAGATGGAGTGTTCCAAAGCAGATCTTTATGAAAAATCAACGATGGTCTATTATTAATAGAGCTTTTCCATTCTCCTATTGGTACCTTTCTAACCCTCTTGTCATTTTCCTTGTTTACTTCTTTAAAGATGACAATATCATAATGTGCCGAGCCTCTGTCACCAAATCGATCGAACTTGATTTTCCCTGTTAGTCCGTCAAAACTGACTCTGCCAAGGAGCTTCTGCAAGTCAAAACCATTCACTGGAGGCGATTTATCGCGACTGGTATTAAAATTGTTTTTCTTAAAATTTCGAGTTGATATATTTATTGCATGAGCCAGGGCATATACAGCGTCGATTGTATATGGAATATAAGAGCTATAGATTTCTTCAATCAAGTCTTCTGAGCACAGTTCAATTTGGCGGTCACCGCAATTCTTGCTCACCAAAAGATGCCATATTTCGTTCGCACCATCGCTCCACTCAGAAAAACCTCTGTTGTTTCGCTCCTTGACCAAGATATCCTTTAAATGTTCTTTGAATCCTAAGTCGCTAAAATTGTGATGTTGAAACGCTATCGAGTTCTCGAGGACATCGTTTCTTTGATATTTGGATGGTAAAAAATCTTCACACAAAATCCATACACGTCCAGTAAGATTTTGCCTATGAACCTCTGCGAAAAACTACGTTTGGTAATTCTCGTAAAACCAAAAGATGACAACTTTCATATTGTCCATCTGTTTTAGCTTTTTCACTTTGTTGGAATTACTGAGATGCAGACTTTGGTGGCGTATAAACTCTGTCAGAGCAATACAGAAGGAGATATTCCTTCCTGCTGTTTCGCTAACCACTGCCCATACTCCATTTCGTCCAAACGAATCGTCTAATCCAACGACGGCAATATAACTCCAGTTGAAGTGTGTAACCAAGTCAACCATAGCCTTCGCAAGAAAAGTATCCGAAGGCACTGTGCGATGTAAATGCCTAAAGGAAAGGGAACTGAGTTCAGCACTAGTTGTTGTTCCGCTTATGCTCGTAAAATTGAGCATCTGGAGAAATCCACTGATGACTATTGCCGTGCGAGATTCATCCGGGCCTACCATAGAAATGATATTTTTTTTTCCTTTGTAATTTTGTGTTAATTTTACACTAGAGTCAACGGTTAGAAGTTTGTAAACGAGTCTTGCAGCTTTCGAGACGTTTCTGCAGTAATCTCTTATGTCATATCCGAGGGAGATGTTTGAAAGAAAACTTGTGTCATTGTTTATTCGTTCGATTGCGAAAATCATGGCCTGCGTGCGACCAAGTCCTTTCAAATTTATCCCTTTACATTGACTCCGTGGGTGCTCACGCGGCGAGTGTATGTTGAAAAGTCCGCCTAACATGATATCACCTTCTCTGTAAAGAGCACGAAGAGCAGTAAAGAAGCAGAAAAAAATTAACAACTGATAAAGTGACATGCTCATGGCAGTGCGCCTCCTCCCACCTTTCCTTGTTAGCGAACGCCGGCAAAGCATAGACTTATATATACACTTAGGCGTATTTTGCACCTATCATGGTGGTGACCAATGAACTTTGAATTCATAACGTATAGCTGAAATGTTCATATTGAGCAACACTTCAAATCAAAGTCTTTTCTGACACCACAACATCTCAACTACTCAACGAGTAGTTCGAAATAAAACGATCGTTTTATCATTTGAACTACTCATTAATATGTTTCAAGTTAGTGACATTTGAAACGATCTTCCTGTGTGGGAGGCATAGCTAATTTCGAGAACATTTTTGGAAATGTAATAAACGCATAAAGACAAAATAAAGAGCCAAATAGTAGGTCAATTAGGTACATCCATTCTTAAAAAGAAGCAAGTATTTAAGTCAGATCTGTAATTTCACGATATGGCAGCGCAGAGCTTCAAATAATCAAACAATGCAAGCAAAAGTACAATTTGGAAAGAAAAGAACCAGAAAGCCAGAACAAAACAAAACAAACAAATAAAATACAAAACTAAAATAAAAGAACCAACATTCAAAACCCACGAAGCAGAATACAGGTTAACAGCAATCAACCGATTTAATGTTTAAACGCAATACCGAGTTCAACCACAAACGTGAACCACGCACAGAAACAGGAATTTTAAAAACATCATGTGCTCTGATGAGAATAATCTTTGTTCATTTGCATTTTGATCACATACTACACTATTTAGATTACAAAATGATCATGAAAGTCGTAAACATATTATATACATAGCAATTATTGCGAATTTGGTACAGAAGCAGTCCAGAAAATAAAAAACCGCCACCTAGCCGGCCAAGGATAAAATGACAAAACACTGTAGTGTATTTTGCATTTACTATGATGATCAATAAATTTTGAAGTCGGTATAAACCCCAAGTGAAATATTTGAATTAAACATCAATTGAAATTTTAGTCTTATTTCAGACACACCAACATCTACTTAAGTCTACATGAACTCAATGAGTAATTTAAAAATAATACGATGTGATGACCACATGCCAATTCTTGAGAGAAAAAAACACCCACTTGACCGTTCAGAGCAAGTGTTATCTGGAGCTTCTGCGCTACGAAAAGCACATTTAAAAACGATTAAATAGTGTGTTTTAGCAGGTTCTAATGTAGGAGATTAAGCTAATTCCAAAAATGTTGTCGGGAACGTAATGAATGCTGAAAAAAAAATAATAATAATAATAATAAAAAACACGAAAGAGGCAAACAGAAGTTGACTAGGCATATCTGTTTTCTATTCTTAGATAGAACGAGGTATTCAAGTCAGGTCATCAATTTCACGATGTGGCAGAGCACAGCTTCAAATGATCAAACAAGCAAAATACAAAGAAGCAACCAAAGGGCGAAACAAAACAAAACAAAACATGACAAAAATTAGCCTAATTAAGGGAACAAACATTCCAAAGGAAGAACAACAGGCAGAATACAGGGTTATAGTAATTAACCAATCTAATTTTTAAAAGCAATACGGAACTGAACCATAAAGATGAACCACAGATAGAAACAAGAATTTTAAAAACACCACGTGCTCCGATGAAAATAACTTCGGTTCGTTTTCATTTTCATTACCCCCTACACTTTTTAGGTTACAAAGTGATCATAATTTTGATATACATAATATAATACACATCCATAAATAAGAATTATTAGTATTCGTTGGTAATGGAGTACAGCAACCGTGGTAATCCTCTAGATTGTCGGCTGCTGATATTCCTATATGCAAATAAGAGATCGAACAAAAATAAAGAAATTAGCCATTAAACAAACAGAGAGCCAGTGTCAGTATCCATCAGACTTCTCGCCTTTACATATTCATTTACTTTTACTAAGATTATCCATGACGGCATGGCACCCGCTAACTTTTATAATCTGATCGCAATCTTCAGTTATTTCGCCACCTATCGCCACCTACCCAACTTAAACACGAAGATCATTAAGGGAAAGAAAAAGAGGAAAGAAAAACAAGCTGCAAAAGCGACTACCGAAAGTCGGTTAGACACCCACATTGTAAGGTAATATGAGCCCTTAATTAAATAGACATTTTGTCTACGGCTTGGCACAATTCATGTCATTAAGAATTTAACATACCTTTCATAAATAGCTCAATTCATATCCTTGTGTCAACTGGCAATTCTTAACTATCGCGGATTGGATGAACACTACGTTGCTCGGTTTCTTCCTCAACAGTGACTGTGTACGAATAGAATACTCCGCTACAAAGGGTTGCGATGATGTTGGGAATAAAAATAAAAGAAACACGATTCGCTATTGTGATAAAGTCTCGGGATCGATGTCATATATATTATACAAGAACTGCGATGTTCACTAATTCTTGAAAGTTCACGCTTGATTTTAAAGGAAAGAACTCTTTACGGTGGCCAATTTACATTTTCAACTAAGTTCAGTGGTATAACCAAATTACAAATTGTTTTGTAGACATTAAATGGAATTTTACAAAAGGTGTTATTATCATGGCCTCTATGGAAAAAAGAATAATACTGCCACGGTGGCGAATTGCTTCATTAAAATCAACGAATTCCTAATACACAATTCGCATTTATAGGAACGGACAACACCACTATCAAAAACAATTTCGTGGCTTTTTAGCGAACAGGAATTCGATTATTTGCGTGGAAAGAAATTGACTGTAATACGCAAACTTAGAGAAGTTCTAGTCATAGAAGAACAATGCTGACATTGATTACGTTTTCCGGTTTTAAAATGTTATTTGGAAAAAATAAGGCAGCCTGTCTCTTTATATGTTTTTAGCCATTTGTGCTATTGTAACAAAAAAAAACAACAGCAACAACGAAAAACTTTGAAATAGTACCTGTTAAAGACTAGCTTGAACTTGTTAAAAAACAAATGGCTTGATTAAATGACGGTAACATGAAAAACGTGCAAATAAACGACCAACTCAATTTTGCATTAAGAAGTTCCCTGAGTATTTGATGAATTCGCATACTCTATCAATATGATAGCCTCAACTAAAATCGCGGTGCTTCTTCGATTCCCAAATGAAACATGAAAAATCTCCATTTATGGCTTCATTTCCTCAGAAACGTTTGCAATCGAAAATTTAGGTAGTTTTATGATATTTTTTTGTTGAAAACGGTGAAGCAATTTCCAAAGTTTTAAAACGCATTTTTAAACTAATTATCACTCTACTTATTAAATATATATTTATATCTTTTTTTTCCACCGTTCTCGACATATTTGCTGCCGTGGTTTATTACGATCCCAAAGGTTTTGCTGAGAAATTTTTTCTTAGAGCTTTTCAATCCAGATTTTACACTTGCGCGAGGGAAAAGAATGACTTACAATAATATTTCGATTTGTCCATTTTAGAGCGAGGGTGCGCAACGCTTTTTCCAGCCTACTATTTCTTTGCCGAAAGACGTTTGGTAAACCATACCGTTGACAAGAAGTACGTCAAGAACTTGGAACTGTGAGCTTTTATATTACCTGAACGACAATTGTGTTAGTACCAACTTCAAAAAGGATTCAGAGATAATTCCAAACAATACTGTATTTGGTCACCTCTGTGAACTAAATATGACAAGGACTTGATAACTGATACCGACTATTACTATCGTGGCTCGAAGGTAAGTCAGGTAACTCGAATTTACGTTCTTGTCGATTTGGGATAACATATGAAAAAGAACACTGATTGACGTTTTATACTCAGTTTTTTCTTTCTATCCTGATGGTGATTTGCTTGTTCACTCAATTCTTCTAACTTTTTTTCGTTTCTACCACTTTTTTCCTTCCTTCAGGACGCTTGTGATAAGTATTCGCGGTTCGAGAATAACGCAACTTGTCAGTCTGATTTTACTCACAAGGGATATAAATGCCTGTGGTCTACTGGATTCGATCGAGAACTTTGTGAAAATGGTAAGTCTATATTCATGCTTAAAATGGCATGATTATCTGTTAACTTCTGGCGTGACTGCTGTTTCCTCATATTTCAGTTGGTTTAAGTTGCTTAGAATTCCTCTTACATTATATTTAAATGCCTCTATTTTTGCTTCTTTTGCTATTTGTTCATCGAATTTCTTTTGCTTTTTTTACTCAGGTGGCAAATTAAGAACAGGTTCGTCGCAAGAATTACCTGAGACAATGTAGAACAATCTGGCGTTCTCGCATCCATGGCTTGCACCGTTCAACATGGCAATGTCTTATGAGCGGCAAATTTTCAATAGTCACGAAATTTTTTGGGGGGTGTGTCTGCGATTTCTTAGATGTTGACGAGTATGAAGGAACTCCATCTTGTCACGAGAATGCAAACTGTACCAACACCATTGGATCACATGTATGTGAACGCCATCTTGAATATATCGGAAATGGACAGAATTACACAAGTGAACTTAACAACTTTCATCTCTGCCTTTCCTTTGAGATAAGAAAAATCTCTTGCCTTTGAAAATGATTGGGATTATCAAGGTAGGTGTATCATTTATCCCTTCTACTTTACTGTGATTGGTTAAGTATAATCGAATGAACATGGTCTAAATCGTTGTTGCTCAGGTGGCCATTACCAACCTTTGTGTCGTTTGGCCGTGTGTTGTTCAT